CTGTGAGCGTGATGCCATGGCACTCTACCCAGGGGGATAGCTTGAGGCTCCGTCTCAAAAAAAAAAAAAAACATGCATTACTAGAAAACTACAGACCAATATTTCTTATGAATATAAACGTAAGAGTTCTCAACAAAGTACTAGCAAACCAAATCTAGCAGCACATAAAAAGATCATACAATATAATCAGGTGGGATATATCCCAGGAATGCAAGATTAGTTTAATATACAAAACTGAATTGATGTACCCTACCATATTAATGGGATAAAAAAACAAAATCTACATCATCATCTCAATAGAGAAAAAAAAAATTTGACAAAATCAACACTCTTTCATGATAAAAAGCATTCAACTAGGAACAGAAAGAAGATACCTCAATATGATAAAGGGCATCTGTGAAAAACTCAAAACTATCATACTTAATAGTGAAAAGACTGATTTTTGCCCCTCTAATAAGGGAGAAGACAAGCATATCCAACTCTTTATATTTTTAACTAACATTATACTAGAATTTCTAGACAGGGAAACTAGGCAAAAAAATTAAATAAAAAATCAATACACAATAATCAAATGTGTTTTTATGTACTTACAGTGAGAAATCTGAAAACAAAATCAAGGAAATAATTCCATTTCTAATAGCATCAAGAAGAATAAAATGCTTAAAAATGAATTTCACAAAACTTATACTTTGAAAACTGCAAAAACTGTTGAAAGAAACTAAGCATACCTAAATAAATGTAAATATACCCCATGTTCATAAATTGGAAGACTTAGTATTGTTAAGATATCAATACTTCCCAATTCAATTTACAGTTCAAAGGCAATTTCTACAAGCTGGTTTAGTTGTAGAAATTGACAAGATTTTAAAATGTATGTGGAATTTCAAGGAACCCAGAATAGCCAAAACAGTCCTGAAAAAGAAGAACAAAGTTTAGAGAAGTCATATTTCCCAATTTCAAAATGTTAATACAAAGCTGCAATAATCAAGACAGTGCATACGGGCATAATGAAAGGTAACGAGAGATATATGGATCAATAGAATACAACTTCGAGTCCAGAAATAAAAACATATTTATGTTCTACTGATTTTTGACAACGGTGCCAAGACAATTAAGTGGAGAAAGATTAGTCTTCCCAACAAATAGTGCTGGGAAAACTGGATATTCACATACAAAATAATGAGAAGACTGCTAACACACACCACCAACAAAAGTTAATTAAGAGGTAATACTTTAAAACTCTTCATGGCTCAGCGCCTGTGGCTCAAGTGGCTAAGGCACCAGCCACATACACCTAAGGTGGTGGGTTCAAATCCAGCCTGGACCTGCCAAACAACACTGATGCCTGCAAACAACCAATAGTCAGGCATTGTGGCAGGCACCTGTGGTCCCAGCTACTTGGGAGGCGGAGGCAGGAGACTCGCTTGAGCCCAGGAGTTGGAGGTTGCTGTGAGCTGTGATGCCACCCAACTCTACCCAGGGGACAGCTTGAGGCTCTGTCTCAAAAAAAAAAAAAATACCTCTTCATAACCTTGGATTTAGCAATGGTTTCTTAGATATGAAATCAAAAGCATATGCAACAGAAGAAAAAATAAATTGGACTTCATCAAAATTAAAAATGTTTGTGCTTCAAAGGATATCATCAGCAAAGAAGACAATCCATACAATGGATAAAAATATATGCAACTTAAATCTGATCATGGACTTGTAACTAGAATATATAAAGAACTCTTACAACTGAATAATAAAAAGTCCAGTAACTATATAATTATATAGTTATATAGTTATGTATATAGTTATACATATATACATAACTATCGATTAAAAATAACTTTTTAAATTTAAGAAAATAAAAACACAAAAAATGGGCAAAAGATTTGAATAGACATTCCTGCAAAGAAGATATACAAATAGCCTATTGGCACATGAAAGATGCTCAACATCAAAAAATATCTTCAGCAAATAACAATATTTGGTGAAGATATATTTGGAAAATTGAAAATTCTGATACATTGCTGGTAGGAATGTAAAACAATGTAGCCACCATGGAATACAGCTTAGTAGTTACTCAATACATTCAACACAGAACTACCGTGTGAACCAGTAACCACATCCCTAGGGATATAGCAATGAATTGAAAACATGTTCAAACAAAAACTTGTACAGAAATGTTCACAGCAGCAGCATTGACAATAACCAAAAGATAGAAACAACTATAAACAAATGTAAACCTGAAATAGCCAGTCCTTCAAGATGTATCCCAACTGGCTTACTGGCCCTAAATTTAAAATAATGCCAAGCAGCTATTTTGTGACAAGTCACACACATACTGAAAATCTGTGCCATTTTAACTTGAGGACTTTTAGCCAATCAGGCCTTAACTGTCTCAACCAATCAGAGCTCACCTGCTTCAACCAATCAGAACTGAGCTTCGATCCTTGTGCATAAATGAGCCACAATGGGAACCTGGGCTGGAATTTTTGCTATGAAACTGAGCCTTTCCTTTGTTCTCTAGGAAATGCCTTCATTTTATGCCAAAGGCTGTGTGTCTAAACCTGGTTGGCACACTGTTAACTGGAAGAAAATCTCTTTCCTCCAAATTCCTTTTCAAAGAACTTTGTTCACACAACCCAAATGTACCCTAACTGGTGAATGGATGAACAAAATGTTTTGAATGCATACAATGGAATATTATTTGGCAATAAAAAGAAATGAATTACTGATACCTGCTATGACAGGCATAAACTTTGAAAACATTATGCTAAGTAAAAGAAGCTTAGGCACAAAGACAACACATTGTATAATTCCATTTATATGAAATGTCCAGAATAGGGAAATCTATACAGAGACAGAAAGTAGATTAGTGGTTGCCTAGAGCTGAGCAGGACTGGGAAAACTGAAGTGACAGCTAAAGGTATAGGGTTTCTTTTGGGGTTGATGCAAGTGGTTTAAAATTGAATTATATCTCAATAAAACTGTCACAAAAAGACTTAGTGATTATACAAGTGATTATAGTGAGCTTTCAATAAATAGCAGCTATTATTAGTTCTAATACTATTATTACAGTCCATTCCATTGAACCCTGAATGAAGGGACGAATGTTTATGGCATTTGTGAGGGTTTGTCTGCTAAATTCAGAATTAAAGAAATTAAAAAGAAAATAATGCAGAGAATTAAGGTCAAAAATATGCATACAAACCCCATGAATTCCATTTCAACAGGAAACTAAGTAGGGCTAAATGCTAATCTTCTTTCCACTGAGTAATTAGCAAAGTATCCTGTGGACTTCCCATATTAATTTTTTAGAGTTCTCCAACATTTTTAGCTTACCCTTTGGAACCCATGCTTAGCCTTGCTATAACCATCTATCTATCTAACTTATTCAAATGCAGATTAGTCAGACCTTGAAGAAGTTAATTCCCACTGAAACAAGGAGAGAATATAGAAAAGTCTCACCCTACATTTTTTTTTTGAACTAAAAAAAGGATTATGTTTATTGAGGGCAAAGGGATGCAAACAATGTAAAAAACAAAAACTCATCTGGCATTTAATTAACTTTTTCTTCTCTGCTTGACAAATGGGAGTTGGATTTTATTTGTGTATATTCTAAGGGTCCTGATCTGCTCATGAAATCCTTATCCAGGGAGAAGCTGTGGGGCAGATGTCTGAAGCAATCCTTTGAGAGAACACTTTTCGGGGCAGAGTAATTGCTCGGTTCTGCCTACTTCTTGCCCTTCTGCTTCATGTGTACTACAAAATAGTCGTTGCACGCGATGGTGAGGCCCGCAATTAGGGAAAAGAAGCTCTGGAAGCCCACTTTGCAATCTCAGCACTGGTCCAGGTCCTTCATTATTTTGTCTAAGGCCAGAGGGTCTTTATGATTTTCCAAAAACCCCGGGAACTCCTTCTCCATGAGCACTCTGAGGTCCTCCTTTGTTAAGTAGCCTTTATCCCCAGCAAATTTGTGAAATGTGAACATCATGGTTTCCATGGCATGCTCCATCTGAGATGGCATTTTGGTGAGGTCTACTGAAATCTGGGCCAAGAGGCGTAGTGAACACTAGCTGGTTGGGGCGCGGGGCAGTGAACCTCACCCCACTTTCTAAGTCATCTTTCAGTAAAAGTTTTCCTAGGGATCAATTCTTTTTCCAATCTCAAATGGGAATGCACATCTTTTTATGCAGAACCTATGAACAGTTACCTGTAATACCTGAAAGACACATGTGTTTGGCCTAAGGAGATAGTAATTTATCTCCAGTAACAAGGGACAAATCGCCCCTAAAGCTTCTAATGTAGTTCTCAACCTTCCAAAGCCTCCTAATGCCACGACCCTTTAATACAGTTCCTCATGTTGTGGTGACCTCCAACCATAAAATTTTCAATGCTACTTAATAACTGTAATTTTGCTACTGTTATGAATCATAATGGAAATATCGGATATGCAGGATGTATTTTCATTGCTACAAAGGGGTCAGACCCACAGGTTGAGAACCACTGTTAATGGAATAAGCAGATTAGCAAGCTGTTGAAGAGTTCAACTGCCCCCACACTCCCAAGCATAACTAGCTAAAACAGGGACTGAATAACTAAATGAGAGAAAAGGTAAGTACAAGTTCTTTTAGCACATTTCCCAATGACAACAGCTCCTTTAATATGTACAAATACTACAGAAGAAAATGCAAAGAGCCCTGTAACTTCAGCAACTATAGCTGGGTCCACCTCAGTGGCCAGAGTTAATATGGTGGTCACTACTGTGGCTTATTAAACATGTTCTCAGTGGGGATAAAAAAAGAGGCAAAAGAATGTCACACACTCTCTTTTACCTTAAACAATGATATCTGAGTCCCCTCTTACCCTTTTAGATTCAGCTCATTTCTGGCCAAACCAAGAGCATGTGTGCTCCTGTTTGTCTTCTTGAAAACATCTTTTATAAACTCCTTATTGGCTTCCTTATTGAGCTGGGCAAGTTGACTTTGAGAAGCCTGCAAAAAAAAAAAAAAAAAAAGTGGATGGGTGGAGAAGGAAGCAGGGAAATGAAGAAAACCACAAATTATCTAATAGGTAGCTCTTATAGGAAAGTCCTGACCCACATGGACAGGTTGTTTGGGTACTCCCAGGAGTGATAATCTAAACATCTCAATCAATATGGCACTGGGCTGACTGATCATAGTGGAAACTAGCAGTAAATAAGCAATGCATCAATCAGTACTGTTATCTATTGGCTAAACAGCAGCTCTAACTGCTTTTTTTTTTTTTTTG